GCAAAATTATTTCAAGATTATTGCTTTGTTGACCTGATTGACTCATACAAAATATGTCAAGTGAAATGCAAAAATACATCAAGCATTTATCTTTAAAAAATGCATTTGTAGCATTACTATTTTTGATCTATATTGATTTTCTGAAGTTGTTTATTCCAGAATCATTCGATTCTAGCCTCGCACTTATATGATCTTTTCACAACTTGACAAAGATGTATGACTTCATTTCATCACATTTCATTGCTAAAATATTTATTGTTGTTGGGATCAATTATGAAATTCATTTGCTAAAAATTATTACTGTCAAGTCAATTATGATATCCGCGACAAGAAGCTTGTAATTTATTTTTGATTTGTTTCAAAAATGGCATCATTTTCTTAAAACATGGCATCATTTTTTAGTTCACGATCTACACCAATCATAATAACCTTCAGTACTTCATGTTTGCCAATGTACTGAATCAAAGACAAACTCATTGGAGTATATAGCTTTTACGCTTCAACTTTGTCATCATACATCGTCCATGTTCTGAGCAAATCTAATCCCATGTTTTTTTGCCAAAGAACGTATCCTGCATCCATAAAAATAGATGCAACTTACAATCATTATCCTTTTAAAGTCTTAGCAATTTCAGCTAAAAACCGTTCGTTCCACAATTTTGATGTATGTTTGTTTTTCTAAGATATTCAAATAAGTTTACAGTTCGATCATTTGGTCTTGAAATTGAGAAACAATGCTTGCATCTTCAATCATAGAAAATTTTCAAGTTCAAATTTAGAATATATAGATTTAAAATACTTGAATCAAACTAATTCTTGTTCATGAGTTTCTAGATCTCATGATGCTAATCTAAGATTTCAGTTTCGAGATGAATCATTATTCTACGAAGGATTACTTTTTATTTTTTAAGATTCATGTAGACTCCGAGTGCTTCACTCTTGATATAACTCTTCATTGGCAAGAAATTTTGATTACAACAAAATCATGAAGCTGATATCTAGAAACTTTTGTTGTTCACAAATGTGGAAAAAATATGAAGGTTTATGTCACAACATGTGATAACTATTTTAGATATAAGAATACTCGTCATTTGTCATATGGATTACTTCTGTTGTTGTTGACTTTAAAAATTCCATATACGTCTATATCCATGAATTTTATTGTGTATCTTACAAAGTTCAAATCTTTTGATTCATTTTTTATTCTAGTGGACTCTTAGACAAAGACGTCACATTTGTGTCAAAAAACGTCATATTATTTTTTGAAAAATGTGCACAAATCATGAACTTTTTGACAAAATCATGTCTAATTGTGTTACGCAATTCACAATCAGGTGCTGTCAAAACCTGTTCAAAATCTTACAAATGAAGATTAATCTAGTTTAACAGATGAACAAATCGAACAAGTGAATCAAATATTGGAGCAGTATTTAAGATGCAACATCAAAACCTTTGAAGACAATTAGATTAATCTATTTTTAGTCATAGATGTTGTCCACAACAATACATTTTAAGACTTCATACACCAAATTCAATAATTTGCAAACTATGAATATAATCTACTAAAATGACTCTTTGAATTTGAGTTTGACAAAGAATCAAGCTGCGCAAGATCTAATCATCAGACTTTTGGAGATTCACAAAAACATGAAGACAAAGCTTGTAGAAATTCAAGACCGGCAGAAGACAAATGCACACAAATCTCAAAAGCAAAATACAAACATCTCACTTGGAGATAAAGTTTGGCTTTTTCATCGCAATTTGAATACTCGTCAAAAAGTGACAAACTTGATTATTGTTTATTGTTTTTGTAAATAAGTAGATGAACAAGGTAGCATAAAGGTTGAAATTGCCATCATCTATGAAAATTTATCAAGCATTTTATGTTTTTTTTCTTGAACCTTATAAAGAATTGATTACTCTGGGACAGTTCAAAATGTCATCATCTAACAAAATTCATCAAGCATTTCATGTTTATTTTTTAAATAGTAAATAAAATTAATTAATCAGAGATGTTTGCAAGCAACTTTGCCATCAATTGAGATAAATGGAGAAGAAAAATTGAAGTTTTCAAGATCATTGACGCTTGTTTCAATAAAAAACGATTACAATATCTTATATATTGGCAGGACCAAGAAATAAACAAGCTAAAAAAACAAACATGATGCTAATTTTGCTAATGTTTTCAAAATGATCAAAAAAATTCTTTATCAATATCCGACGAAATCAAGTGTCAAAGATATTCAAATCCAACACATTTGTATCAACATCAGCAACAAATCAGATTGTAATCATTTAATACATTTTTAAAAAATAAATTTCAGTGTTTATCTTTGATAAAATATATAAAACAAATCATATTGTAATCATGTAATATTTTTTTTTGTTATGGATTTTAATATAGATAAGATAAATAAAAAAACTTGTAAATTTGTTGATTGAAGAGGTGATCATATCGTCTCTCCAAGCAACAATCAAATGATCATATCGGATTTGACATAAAGTAGAGTTGACGATGCGAAGAAAATGCCAAACTCTTTTTAACTTTGAAAGCGGTACCAAACTTTACAATGTTAGAATTACTACAGTAGTAGCATTCTAGAAGAATATATGAAGAATCTCAAAATACTGTTTTTCAATCTCTTCAACATATTTTGTACACACTCTTCAAGTATCATCATTATTACCAGTTTTCTTGTTTCAAATGTTATTAGTTCTAGTCTTGGAGTTTCAAATACTATTCAAGTCTTGTGTGAATTGTTGTCCACATCATCTTTTATACATATTTTTAAAGTATCAATATTTCTTCTAATTTTCTCGTTTCAAGTGCTACTACTTACATGTTAGAAGCTTTGAGTACCGAGTTTCGAGCGATACTACTTCTAGGTTTGGAGCTTCAAGTGTTATTTTCAGTTTATATGAATTGCTATCCCCAACAACTTTTGTATTACTTTTCAAAGTCAATGTTACTTCCAGTTTTCTCGTTTCAAATGTTTCTAAAGTTTTAAAACTTCAAATGCTATTCCAAATCTTGTGTGAATTGTTGTCCACAACATTTCAAAATGCATCTAAATTTCTCTTATCGAATGAATGGCACGATAAGAATCTCTTGGTGTCTTTTTCCAACGTCATTCAAGTTAGATCTCTAAATCTTATTGAAAGTCTCGATCGCACAATTGTCATGAACTTACAAAATTTGTAATAGTTAAATACAGAAAGATGTATGCCAAAAAAGCTTCCTTTTTATGGTGTAAATCTATATTGCACCATTGTCATTAATGTACAAAATTCATAGGAGTTAAATCCACAAAGATGTAACATTGTTTCGTGAACATATCCACCATTGTGAACTACCACTCTATGGTAGGTTAAAATACTTGATTGAGAATATAACTCAAAAGATTATCAAAGTTAAACAATTTTCCCACACAAAATTAATAGAAAAAATTCAAAATGAAAAATTGAAATTAATATCAATAAGTAGAAAAACTACTAATGTTGATAGTAAAAATTGTTAATAATATTTTAAAAAAATTAAAGTTCATATCATAGTAAAAATATCAAAATAATAATATAAATTCTAATAAAAAAGCATATAAGTTTAAGTATGAAAAAATATAATATGAATTTTAAATTTAATTTAGATACATAGAATCGTTAAAATTTCTAAAATAAATCACTCATTCTAGTAAGTTATATTGTTTAAAATTAAATATCCCCTTTTGAAAAAATAAATCTAAAGTCATATGTAATATTGACTAGAATATTGTACAATGCCAGAACAGGAGCCAGAAGTGTACGAAGTAAACTCTGTACACTCGTGAATAAAGTGTATCACATGGAGGGATATAATCGTTTGGAAATAGGCCGATCCGTCTGCGCGACATGGCTGAAGCTCATCGAATCGGAAAAGAAACATGCCGGACGCCATGGAGCCACGGACATGGACACACTCTTGTCAGGCCGAGTCGCTAGAAGCAATAACTGTGGCAGAGAGTTTGGTGCAGACGAGCATGGGCTGGTGCACCAGCTCCTCCATGCCCGAGCTCCCAACAGGAGAATGCAGATGTGCAGCAGTGCTCTCAGAAGCGACACACCAGACGCAGCAGAGATTTTCGGTCAGGCTCTTTGCAATCGCACGCGAGGAGGACGAGATTGAGAGTTTTGAGGGCACGTGAACCGAGCTGCGCAGCGGTGACTCGATTCGTTCGATCGTCGTCATCGACAGCGAGGAAGAGAGAGCTGAGGCGAGCGACGACAACGCGGCGATCGCCCGCTCGAAACCTACGCCGGACTCTACGCGTGCCCGAATTTCGTTTGATCCAAGAGCTCCTTCTTTCGAAAATGAGACCTTCGCCTCCGTTGATCCGGCGGGCAGAACAGCTGATAAGAGCTGAAGACTAATATTTTTAGCCCCCGCCCCCCGTGCTCCGATTCTACGTTGTCACTCCATTCCAGCCATCGCCATTTGCGGTTCGTGCACCGGAAGCGCATTGGTTTCTTCGACCAGCGCTGTTCGAATCAGTCGCGGTCCTTATCTCGTCTGCTAATTAAGAAGCCTCGCAGATAGCTCTCGTCGCTGTATATCCTACTGGCCCCCTGGCTCTGGCAAACCCTCGCCTCCCCAATCTCCATTCCTCTGCCGAACTCGAGAGCATCGGTCCAGTTCTAGCTAAGGACAAAAAAGCCCAGCTTTCTTGATTGGCTGCTCGGGAATCAGGGTAAAGAATCTGTTCGATTGATCCATCAGAAGTTACCGTGAACCCGCGAGCGCATCAAATGCTTGGCTGTGTTTGATTTGAGAACCTTCAAGTGGAGGCTCTGGAGGGCAAAAATGGCCCGTCCCGTCCACTTTAGTCTGCTGTTGTGCGACGGCAGTAGAAAGGTCAGCAGCAGGTAAGACGGGACCACGAGTTACTGCGATGGCGGAAATATCATATATAATGGGGCAAAAATGGCGGAAAGGATAAAATAAAACACGGTCTCAAATCTCTCCTCGCATGCATCGTTGGCAGCTGACTAGTGCACTAGTCTGTCGCCCTCGACCTTGCCGAGCGAACTCCTACCGTCTGTGCGTGGAGGATCTTTTCTGCATCCCCGCCCTTCGACGCTTTCTCGCATCTCCTCCCCTCCCCGCCGGACCCCGCCCATCCGTTCGCTACGACAACCTGTGGTGCTCGAGAAAATTCAAAGATTTGTGAATACGAGCGGAGAGGAGCGATGGCGACGACCTTGGATGTCACCAGGATTGAGATTGCGTTTTTGGCTGCGTATTTGAGCAAGGCGGAGACGAGGGACAAATTATGTCGAGCCATTCAGTACGGATCGAAGTTCGTCAGCAACGGGGAGCCCGGAACCGCAGCGACCGTGGACAAAAATACGAGTTTGGCGAGGAAAGTGTTCCGTCTGTTGAAGACGGTGAATGAATTGCAGGCTTTGCTGACTCCTGCTCCCAAGTCGACTCCGCTGCCAATTGTGCTTTTAGGGAAGTCGAAGAATGTGCTCGTGGGTACTTTCTTGGCGCTCGACCAAATTGTCTGGCTCGGAAGAAGCGGTATCTACAAAGACAAGGAGAAAACAGACCGCATGTCCAGGATCTCGTTATTCTGCTGGATGGCCGGAACCTTCTGTACCACCCTCGTGGAGATGGCCGAGATCAGCCGAACCTCCATCGCCGTGAAGAAGGTCGAGAAGGAATTGCGGAAGGCCACCAACGACAATTTGGCCGTCGTGGACGTCCAGGCTTTGAAAGATGAAAGGAAATCTCACTACAAGAAGAACAAGGCCAGGACTTTGAACCTTGTCAAATCGTTCTTGGACCTTTTCGTTGCTGCCGGTCTTCTGCAGCTCGCGCCCAAGACAATCACGCCTCGAGTGACTGGCGCTTTGGGATTGACCACTTCCCTCATCTCGTGCTATCAACTCCTACCACCTGCACCCGCAAAGGCGAAGAGCAGTTAATCAGGAGCTTCTCGATCACATTGTGGTTCTGTACCTTCCACCGATCGATCCCGATTGCCTTTGTAGTCACTTAGGTTTAGATCTTGTGCTATTCTTGCTACCACCTTGACACCTGCGACTTCCTTCTCTTACACTTGGACCCTCCCTGGGGTCACTACATACTCCTCACAGCTCCATGTTGTAGTCAATTAGGGTTAACAGCTTCTGCTATCAGTTGCTACTACTTTCACGACTGTGACCACCTTCGTCACACTTGGAACCCTCCTGGGGCATCTACATATGTTCATATTGCTCAATTATTCATCCTTTGCCAGTACGAGGTTGATTGATACAATTGTGTCCTGTCTCTGAATCCTGAGTTCTGACATTCGAGGCTGTAGTGATGCTTAGGTAGTAAATTTGGTCTTCGATACGTAGATCCTGGTGCTGCAGCGAAATCATTCGGCTTTCCGAGATTGTGACTGTCCGAATTGGCATTGACATCAACAAAATACCAGCTTCTTGAACCGATCAGTTCTTGAACTCCGTTCTCCTTAGGCTTTCAGCATTGCATTTGTGACTGCTATGACAAACATGGGCCTGTTCCTCGTGGAGTCTTATCATATTGAATGTTTGCGCTGTGTTACTAGGGTTTGAATCCATTAAAAGTAGCCCCTTCCTTCGCTTGAAATCGTGGGTGGGTTTAAATGGATTTGTATACTCCCTTTGTAATGGTGGCCATTTCAAACAGTGATCATGTGTTGTCGCAGCCCGCTGAAACCCTCTTACTTTTTCCATGAATACATAATCTTGAGCCTCAAATCCACGGGTGGTCCAGAACCGCAATTCAGCCATTAAAGAGTAGCAATCAACCAGTCAATTTCATCTGGTTTTGTGGAGCTGCTCCTTTTGGTATGTATGCGTCCACTTGGTTCAGACTGAGCATGTGTGCCAAGAACTCATTTTAGTGAGTGGTTTGTACAGGACTGACACTTCCAGGGTTATATTACGTTGCATCTTCATTGTTTGCCCATTTGTCAAGATGTCTAGTGCCCAAGCTGACGTAATTCACCTGCTCTTGGCCATGTTTGCTCCAGCGTGCTTGGGCCGGACCTCGTTATCTTCAGCTAGAACCAGCTTGATGAGCACTTCCTTTTGATTCTTAGGCGGAAGTTTTGAATTTTCTCCTACAAAGTTTGTGTCAGTCAGATAGGATTATATTTGGTGCTGAAACTAGATTTTGAGAACAGTATGTAAATTGGTTTCTGTTTCTGTGAGGTTTGAATTCATGCATTGGTGATATATTGGTCTGGCTTCAAACCGACTTTATTTTGATCTCCATGCATCACCCAGTTAAGCAAGCATTGGAACCATGTGCACTCTTTCAAGTTGCACAGTCTTGTACCGTTTAAAATTCTTGGTTCCACGCATGCGAGATCCATCGACTCGGGGGATCATATGGACATTAATCGTTATTCATGCATTTGTAGCGGTCATGGATCCGATACCGACGAATGTATCTTCAAACCATCAAGTTTTGTCTTACTAGCTGCTCTGGTATCTGCGTCTAAGTTTTTCCTTGTATCATGAACCTGCTTGAGAGGCTGCGCAGACGGAGCCAGTCAATCAGGTGGGAGACACCAACACTACACGATAAGATTATAGGCTGGCCTACACGTCACGTGCATTTGGCCCATTTTTGAAGTTTGCTGACAAGGTGAGACAATTACCGTGCACACAGTGGAGATAGTGGATAATCCATCGTAGCAGCGTTTGAACAAGAGGAGCACGTCAACCCATCAGTTCGTTGTAGCCAAGCTTGGTATAGTGAGAGAAAGACACATCACGTTGAGCTTACTCTACGCAGTTCGTGGAGGCTGACGCTGCGTGGTTAGTGGTGTGGACATGCAGTCCTTACATACCTACTGGAGAGAAGAGGACAAATTTTGGACCGGTCAGTCTCCACTGGATGTGGCATTCTGTCCTCTACTTTTGTCTCCTCGTGTTAAATCTCATTGATGGTTTCCAAAGTACCTCGAGAAATATCCGAGGAGTATTTGTGGTTACGGCCGAAATGTTTTCCTGTCCAAATGCTGACGATACACACTAAACGTCAGCAGAGTGTAGACGGTCGAGTGGAGATGGTCATCAGCATTTGACCATAAGGGCAAAACGAAGAAGAAAACGTGTAAATGGCAAAATCTTCAATATATTAAATTGTAGATGGGCGACAAATACCATGAACTTTGAATGAAGTCACATGTTAGGCAAGCGAAGACGTTTCTTGACTCTGCACGCTGGAAGACATAAACTTGTGATCTGTGTAAATATTAACTTCCGGGCAATCGAAATCCGCACTCAAGAAAGAAGCTTGAATCCATGATATTAGAAAACTTCCAAATTCTCCCCGACTGACCACTCCGATACTGACTTGCTCAAAATGCGGCCTCGAGAACGCATTCGCTTTGAAATGCTCGTTCGCGTACGTTTTCTTTTCGCGATGTGTTTTCTTATCTGTCCTTATAGACAAGAAGAATAATGAAGTTCATTACACTATCACAAATGCTAACTCACTCCAAATCCAGTTTTTGGATCAGATGGTTTTTGCATACCTATACTGTGACTTCATCCAGTATGATCCTCTGGATGAAGTCTGATCGGCATGCGGTCTTGGTCTGAACCCATCTTCCCTTTTATTTTAACAGGTGTTGGCACTCTGCCTTTCGTCAATGGAAACATCTGTACCTGGGACGCCCCGGTTCACACCGTCCGGCCATTCCAAGAGATCTTAACCTCCTCAAATTATCGCCGTGTAGTGTGAAAGAATCTTATCTGATCTGCAGTCAGAGCTGATCGTGCACCTCCTCTTGTACACAGACGAAAATACACATGGTAAATCTACGAATCTGGAAAGATTACACCTATTCTTCTGATCAGGGAAGGCATTTTGGAGCATTCTTAACTGCAATTTTGTACTAACAAATTGCAGTGTGTTACATTATTGCGTGCTAAACATCCATCGCGGCGTGAACATTATCTGTTCCACGCGGCGTCCCATGGTGTCCCTCTGTTCTATTCTAGGGCCTCAGATTGATCCTGTACAAATGGGTATTCAAAGATGTTTCTACTCTGTTGATAGCTGCTCGTTTGTTATCGACTCATTCAAACTGCTTCAGAGGTTCCGCTATTCTCGCCAGATGTCTGTTTGCTTCAGAAGACTGCACTGCACAACCTCGCCTTATGCCGAGAGCATCATCAGTCTACTTCGAGTTGGAACTTCCTGTGGCTAGATCCGTTCAAACCTGCCCGAGTTGGTACTTTTCTCGATATGAACAGGTGAATGAAAACGTCTGTTGAAATCCACTGTATCGGGTCGCAATCGCCTCTCTCCGGCATTAAAGAAGCAGAAACAATGGTCCATGAAACCCGAAAGAACCAACGACAAGATGTACTGTAGGCTTCTTTCTATAGCCTCCTACTGATTCGACACGCTAGTGTTGCTCTTCCTCTCGAGATATGATGCCACGGGTTCAGACCTTCCGAGAGTTCAACACATCAAGGCTACGGAAGGCTGTCACTGTCAAGAGCTAAACACCGGCTTCGCTCGAAGATCGATGTACTGCCACTAGCATGTAGAGGTGATTTGAATTTCTCAAACAGGTACAGTGGATGAATCAATCCTTAGGAAGTCGTCAACGGTCTACTTGGACATCTCCAGGCTAAGCCCGGGGGTCACATTGTAGAATTTAGCAGGTGGAGAAGCCGATAAATGTTTCTGCAAAGCAGTCAAAGAGTTCCTTTCTGCATCAAATTTCTTAGTTGTTATCGAGGAAGTCAACCCTAGACGTGACTATGGATGGAGTCAACCCCTAAACTTCATTACCAATGCATTCTTATGCTATCCCTTCGTGACCTCATGGACTATGATAATTGTCAAGGTCTTCTGCTTTCTCTTTTGTCTTCCACGTCAAAGCAAGAGCTAGTAACTATCTACTGCAGTAAGCCTGGTGAGTCAATATCATATGATCCTTGCTCAGGTCCCTGGGTCTGTCCGGTCTGCACGTCGAGTGCATCAGTTTTAAGGAGCTTTAGACACTTTCATCATCTTCGGAAACTGTATCCAGAATTAATGTTCGTTCAAGTCCAGTTCTAGCTCTCGTTTTTCCATTCTCACGGAAATCGTTCAACTGTGTCCATTCAATCGTGCCAAATGAGTGTTGTTCCAACTCCACCTTAAGCATCTGCCTTCTGAAGAATACAAGCGTTTTGCTCTTTTGTCCCCTGTGTCTATTCAATCGTGCCAAATGAGTGTTATTCCAACTGCACCTTAAACATCTGCATTCTGAACAGTACAAGCGTTTTGCTCTTTTGTCCCCTGTGCCATATTGTTTAGTGCTCAAGTGAATTATTCAGGATCCTGCCCTGAGCCAGTAGATCGTTTTTGGGTTTATGAAGAATAAATATGCAGAAATCTCCCTTCACTTTAGAAGACATGTTTCCCCACCCGATCTTGCCTTCCCCAAGGGCGACTAGCGGGTGTAGCAAGTTTTATCTTACAGAAAGTTCGTTTACAGCTCATGAAGTTTTGACTCTGAAGTGAGACAAACCTTCACGAGTTCACGTTTCTGGTGCTGAATTGTACACTTCAAACCAGACGGTATCATCTAAAGGAAAGGCCATCAGGTCTACTTAATCTAATCTGAAACTTAGACTGAAACCTTCGGTCGAACTGACACAACAAAAGTACACAACTGAGCCTTCATGTTCTGCTCCGATACGATCGTTATACGTACTTAAATCATCATCTCTGTGAATACATGAGTCAGTGAGAAACTCTTTTGGATGTGGTGCAGGGTCCTAATTGAACAAACACACTAAGTTGCCACTACTCATTTGCGCATGCGTTCAACAGACTTGGCCCACAAGTCGTCACATTAATGTCAAATCTTGAGCTCCCAGCTGTTTCTCTTTCTCCAGTCAAACCACATATAAGGAGAGTTGAATTTCGAGATCTTGAAGGCTGACTGACCACCTGCACTTTATGTTATTAGTATATAGTTACCTAGTGCAGTATACTAATCAGATTAGGATAATCTGCGTTGTATAGATCTTCTTTGTCTTCTTACCCATCTTTGTAGGCAGGTATGTTGACGTTCAATGTACTCTACCATCTATATCTCATTTGCTACTTAATGGATCCTACTCTCAATAATAAGATATCCAGTAAGGTTCTTAATTCCAATATGGTTTCATAGCAAATAGCTTAGTTTTTCCTTTTGTAGCGGCCGCCTATCAAATACTGTCCGATCTTCTAACTTTTAGTAGGAAGAGAACTTGTTCTAGAACATTAGCT